ATTCCCATGCAGCAAGCGTGCGATGCATGGAAGGGGCAGGTGCGATGACGTGACCCGTACTGCACTTAATGCAATTATTTCGCATGCCACAAAGTTTTTCTGCGTCATAAAAATGGACAATAAACCAATTTAACTTTTGCAATATGCTGCGGAATCAACCCCCCCATGGCAGGCAGCACCCCCCAAGTGCACCCCCGATTTTTGGGCAACTTTCTGTGCCTTATGCTAACGGTCAAAATAGTTTGGTGTCCACTCTAAAACTCGCTCTCGCATGAATGTGGTCTTCCTGTACTGTGCGGAGGCTTTGCTCACAGCTACCCTGGGGCAAGCCACCCCTTCGGACGAGGGGTTTCGGCGCTATAACTTTAATATATTTCACTTGGCATATTTGTGTCGGACAGCCGCCACCCACCCTGCGCTAATGAATGGAACATACATGGATATTTCTGTTGTTTGAGCATTGTTTTTGTTGTTGGTTGTGGTTGGTGTGTCTAAATATGAACAGATAATTGAAATCGAGTGTAAATAAGTGCACTGAGAGGTGTCTGTGTGCAGACATTCGATTATTCACTGAGCCATGGAGAGAGGCGTTCGGACGTTTCGTCTGCCTTTCACATGTGAGGAGAGTCCTTCAGTGTTTTGTGCAAAAGTTTGTAATTTATGTCTACACTTAATGGTTATTCATTCTCGATGATTTGCTGGCATTTTAGTTGGCTCTTCAGGTTTATGGTCTGCACAGAAATGCCTTTGATGGCCGTACATAATTAAAGTTGAATCCTTGGCAGTGGTTTTGTATCTTAGTTATTCTAGAGATTAGAGAAATAATATATTGCTCTGACTGCTGGGATCTTTTCTTGATTATCATATTGGTTTCCCTGCCTTGCAGGTTGTGGCTGTGATTTGATCTCTTTCCTCCGCGGAGACTTTTATCCCATTTCGTTATTTATTTACCAATTAAAGTTTAAACAATGGCATAAGCGTGTAAAGTGTTTAATTAAAAGCGTCAAGCTTCGGACAACAATAACCACCAACGCCGTGTGTTGTCGGTGTCGGTGTCTGTGTCTGGTGTTGCTGCGCCGCGGTCCCCAAGCCGACGGCAATCATGTGTCGGCGGCAGCTGAGTGCAACATCGGTTGCAGATGCAACATGCGTGCTGTAACAGCGGCATCCTGCCAACTGCAGCTGCATCAGCATCAGCATCAGCAACATCAACAGAAGCCGCAGCGGTCGTGTAAAGTTAATTAAATCAAGCGACATGTGTTTCAAATAAATTGAATAAACTCCGACATTAACATAAAATTGAATTAATTTAAATAGGCTTTCGCCGTAAGTTGTTAAGCCAAAACTATAAACAAGTTTTCCATTCCACATCCCAGTGCCCGATCCCAATCCCAAATACATTTTCATTCTTATTTTCATCGCAAGAAAAGTCGAAAGACCAAAGTTTTAATGCCGGTTGAGTGGGGGGGTGGCGCTGCGGGTTAATGTTTTTCGGGTGTATAAGAAAATGTATATTTAGCATCATTATGTCGACAAATTTATGTCACAAACCGCAAACACACACACACACACACACATACATCCAGACGTAGCTGGAGCTGAAGATGAAAATTGGAATGAAAAACGTAAAGTTTTATAATCAAATTTAGTGGTGCAGACATTTCTGGTTTAATTAATTTGTCCTCATTAACTTGAGCCCCACAAATGTGATGGCACAGCGCCACGAAGAAGCTGGGGCTGCTCCGCTTTGCGGTTTCCTCTTGTGTCCTTGATGAGGAAACTCTTTGCTTAAGGGACTCCTATGCCCACACTCAAACCCTCTCTCAGCTCGTCTGTTACTGTATCTTTGTATGACTGTATCTCTGTCTTTTGTGTGGGTATTTTCGAGGCTGAGGTGCACCAACATGTGTGCCGCCTCGCAGCCTTTGTCTCTGCATTAAGATATATTACACACACAGACCCACACACTTCGTCTCTCCCTCAACCTCACCAGCATTTGTACTTGCGAAATAAGTTGAATTATGGCACTTGCAGTTGGCTAATGAATCCGTTGAACAACGCCGGAAGCCAAAAGCCCGAAGGAGCTTGCAACAGCAGCCAGGGAATCAGGTCAATACGATTGTAAATTACGACCTAAGCCCAATTTAGATTTGGATAAGATTACAGCAGGAGATGTTTGCCCTAAAGCACAGTCAGGTGAGGCACAGTCCCACATGTGGGGAGTTATTGATTTTTCTTAAATTTCTGGCATTCCCATACACTAAGTATAGGCTCTGACAGCACCCACATATCGATTGTGGATTGAGCCACTGAGCATCCACAGGGGCGGCCTTTCGACTGTGTGCTGATGGACTCATGAAGAGCGCTGCCTGGGTCGTGTCTTTCCTTTTAGCCGCTTACTGCTGAAAATTGCTGCTTAATTGCGGAGCAGAGCCAGGGCTAATTTAGCCCACATACCTGGCCGGCTGCCTACCCCTCCTGGCCAAAAACTTTTCTCGTTTTGTTGCCCAAAAAGAAAGAGTGGAAAAACAACAGCTTTTGCCGGGCTGCCAGCAGCGCTAAATGCCCGAAATTCTTTAAGTTTACGAGAGGAATGAACAGTTTACATTTTCCTTTGCCCTGTTTTTCCTTTTTCCATCGTTTTTTTTTTTCGGTGGCTGGCGGAGGGGAGGCGTTGGTGCGCTTTGCGTGCGTGGGGGAAATAACGAGGGAGCCAAAAGTGTAGCCAAGTTTTTTGTGTATTTTTGCACCCCTTTTCCGTGGAGGGTTTGTTTCTCTGTTTTTTTTTTTTTGTAGCTATTTCTATTTACGCAATGGCCGCAGCTTTTGGCCAGTCTCACGCTCACAGTCTACGGCCAAGGTGTGGGTCCACGGCAGACAGCCAGCCAGCCAGCCAGCCAGCCAGCCAGCCCCTCCGCTAATATTCGCCATTAAACTTTTGCTTGTTTTTCTTTAATTAACAACGCAAACATCTGATATGCTTTCTTGCTTGCCCCCTCTCTGGGTTTCCCACTTTCGGCGGTCCCTTTTTTTGTTGCTTATTTTATCCGTCTCGCAACCTTTATGAAGTTGAAAAATATCTTTGCCGCTTTCTTTCCACGCATTTTCCCACCCATTTTGGGCAAACTTTTGGTGCTTGAACATTTTCTGTTTCGTTTCTGTTTGCATTTCTGTGGCCGCGAAAATCTCTCTCTGCTTTCCTTTCCCCCGGAAAGATTTTGGTAATTGTGAAAGGGGAAATCTTTAACGCAACCAAAATTGTTTCTGTAAATAAAAATGCTTAACAGGGGATTATTTTCACACATAATGCTGGGGCCACGGGGCGTGAGGTTGGTCGTGCCTGGTTCTGGTCTGTCATAATACCGCTTGAATATTAATAGCTTTTGCATTATAACTTCATTTTGCAGCAACGATCCTTAGAGAGCCAAGCGGATTACTTTGTGTGCGGTAGATTATATTACAGTGCACGTTTATCCGATATGCGAAATGGGATTTAATTATATACAGAGAAAGAGAGAGAGAGAGAGAGAGCGAGCGAGAATAGGGAAAAGCGGAAAGCTGCTGGTCAGGAGGAGTATTGTCGACAGCAAATCTCAGCTGGGGCTAAGCCCGGCTTTGGGTCCATAAAAACTCCACTTGAAAACTAATTAAACACTAATAGTTGAAAGACAAAAAAGAGTCCGAGAACAGATAGAGAAAATAAAAACACTTCTTAAGTGGCGGAAGTGACGGTCAAGATGGGGGCTCTGTGGGAGTGATAGAGAGGGTAGAGCGAGGTCCTGCAATTGAGCAAACAACAAAACAACGAGTCCACTGAAAGGCAAAAGTTTTGAATTTCACTCCGAACCGAACCGAACCAAACAGAACTGAATAGAACAGAGCAGAAGTGTAGAGAAATGGATGGACGGTAGAGCACTCTCGGAAAACTAAAGTGGAAGGAAGCACAGGCTGCTGCGCGCGAATGAGTCTATAAGTTGTGCTACGCTATCGCTGCCCCCCCGTACCCCCTCCGTACCCTCCACTCCACACACACTCGGAAGAGAAATGTCTTGCCGATGAAATAAAACAATGGCAAAACAATGGCAGTGGGCGAACAGTACGAGTCCCGGTTGCCAAATGGCCAGGAGTGAACCCGAGACACGATGAAAAGGATAACAGACGTCGCCGACGGAAGTGGACCGAAATGGCAAATCAAGGAAAAGCAGCAGCAGGCAGCAGCAGAATCAGAATCAGAATCAGCACCCGAATCAGCAGCACACCATCAGACCATCAGACGTGGGCGGCAACAGCAAATCCGCTTAAAGTGAAAATTATTCCTTTTGGGCAGAAACAAAAAAAAAAATACAAAAAGGAGAGAAAAAGGACACACACACAGACACACACACACACACATATACAATAGAAGAAACTTCTTGGCATTCGCGGCTATGTAAGCTGTTGACTTATTTCCCAAAGTTCGATTCGAATGGGAACCCAACCCGAAACCAGCACCAGCCCCAGCCCCAGCCCAAACCCAGAACCTATTGTTGTGAATAGTTTTGTATGCCGGGGCTTAGCTGGCCAAGAATGTGAATGCCTGAACAAAGTGCAGAAAGAGAAACGTTTAAGCCATTTTATTTGTATAACAGGCTCGGCTCAGGCCCAGACGGCAGCTCCACTGGGAAAAATTCTGCAAGTTCTTAAATTACATTTTCCATGCCAAGTCTTAGCTTAAATATTCGAGAAGGTGCTAAGGCTTGTGTAAAAAGTTTCTTCGGAGTGAATTCTGTACCGTGAAACTGAGATAGAACTTCCTGCCACCATTGTACGAGTATATTCCACATCTGCGTTAGATGGGTAACTAAATTTCGGGTACTGATTATGCCAGAGCCAATCTTGCTGCCGCAAATTAGCAGCCAAGTTCCTCACTCACTTACCTCAACTTAAATTGCGACATGAAATATGCAAGGGACTCTGCTCCACGCTCTCCGTTATACGGAGGAGCTTCCTATTCGACTTACCTTTGTGGTGGCGCAGATGATGGCCCGCAGCTGTTCCCGAGCAGCAGGGCGGCTCGTAATATAAATTCCAAGTGTTCTCATAATCCGCCCGAGCATATTCCACATAAATTATTTGCGCACCCAGAACGAGCAGCAGAGCACTGAGGCGGCTAAGGCGATTGAGGGGGCTGTAAGTGTAAGAGCTGCTGCTGCTGCTGCTGCTGTGTAAGCGGCGGCGATTTCGGCCAGTGGCTGCGCCTTGGGGCCGCTGGTTCCCCATGGAGCACATATTGTCTTCCTTGCCTTCCTGATGCACTATACAGTTATACGTATATTTCGGCGTCGGGCAGGACACTCGCGATTGTTGCGGCTTTTACTGCTTGTTAGTGGTGCACTTTTGGTCCACTATGCGAGAGATGTGTGTGTGCGGAGGAGGAGCTTGAGCACGGTTAACGTTGAGCGACATTTGGTTACGGGTCCACCGATCTTGAGCGACTCTTCACATTGCACACGCGACACCTGACTATCTGCGTTTACGTTCACGTTTACGTCTCTTTGTCACTGTCTCTCTGAAGTTCACGAATTCCGCGTTGGGTCGTAGGTCGGAGCGCGTACGGCACGGACTTCGGGCACGAACTGAACGGGCGGCGCACGAGGAACTGTGTTAAATAAACACCCACACGGAGCAGGACGACGACGTTCACTCGTTCACGAACCAGCTTCGGGCTTCGTGTTTCTGTTTCTGTTTCTGCTTCCGTTCGGCTGTTGCTTCCAGACACCTGTGAGCGGAAGAGAGAGAGAGAGAGAGAGAGAGAGAGAGAGAAAGAGCGAATGAGGGAATTATTAGTTGGAGTTTGCGCATTGTGGGGCAGATATGGAAATATCCCACGACCAGAGTGGATTTCCCAGTAATGTTTATGTTTATGCCAAGTGTATTGAACTCATTTGCCATGTGCAACGGGCAGCGTGCAACGTGCAACGTGCAACGTGCAGCGTGCAACGGAGTCTGCGGCAAAACAATGGTTACATTTTCAAGGGTAAATGCAGACACATTCAAAGCTGAAGTGCATACAAAGCACTCCGTGCCACCCCGCTTGCTGCTGCAGGATAAGCTAAGGCGAGAGACAGACGGCTAGACGAGTGAAGAGTCTGGGCATGGGTCGGGGCAGGGGCAGAGAGAGGAAAACAGACGATAAAATAGGAAAATAAAACAAACAAAAAAAAAACATGGAAAAACACAGCAGAACAGGAGGAGAGCAAAGCTTTGGGCCTAGCAGACGCCTGCACTTAAAGCTATTCTCGTGCATTATTATTTATGCATATGCTTGTAGTAGTAACTGCAGCTATGTCTGTGTGCATGTCTGGGAAATCCTGCTTATACCCTGTAGCGTACTGCTGCGGAGTATGCACTGCTTGTGGGAAATCCTTCAATAGTTTGATTCTGTTAAGGCATCCCAACAGTCGTGAAATGTCTTTTGATTTGTACATATTTTTATTTTTTTTCTTTTGATATTATTTTCCGCATAGCATCGCTGGCCGTCGCGTGTTTCAATTTGCAATGCAACATTGTATGCTGCACAAAAAAAGTTCTCTCTTAAGCCAGACATAAGTCACTCAGACAGGGCCCTAAGGGGGCGCAGCACAGGGGGCAGTTACGGTTGTGTTTTGTGGCATTGTGGGGCATGGTAGCACAGCGGCCCAGACACTGACAATTAGGCTTTGTCTTAGTGGAGTATCTGTGTGTGTGTGTGTCTGCGGTATTTGCCTCTGTGTGCGTTAACCTTCAGACGAGTCGAGTGGCAAGACATTCAGTTTACTTTTCCCTGTTTATGCAGCTCCTCGAACATTCCGTTCCAATGCTGACCACGAGCTAGTCGAGGCCCCCGATGGGCGGATGGGCGAATGGGGCTGGACTCGGCAGACATCCACTTTTGACCACAAGAATGGGAAACTTTTGTTCAGGAATTTTCGTACAATTTTTGTTTTGACAGCCTGCTGCCCTGCCTGCTGCCCAAGACAATTTGTGGCCCCAATGGCATATGGCTTCAATGTCCAATACAGTCGTCAAAGGATCAAGAGCACACCCCAGGAGCACCAGCAGGAGCAGGACACACACACACACACACACACACACACACAAACACACACACACACCTGTCGTGTACAACGAACGAAACGAGCTCCACAATTGCCTTATAAATGCCCCCAAACTTTGACTAAGCCAACGAAAAACTTTGATTAATGTGCGCTTAAAGAGGAACCAAATACGTGGAAAAAGCACCCAACACGACGCCAGCACAACGAAAGCAAAGAAAAAGCACGAGGAAAAGAAAAGCAAAGAAAATCCAAGGCAGAAGGCAAAACAACGACAAAACTTTTCATAACTTTAAGTCAGACCAATGCGAGGGGTAGGGGCAGGGCTCTTGTGGCGGGGGCTTTGGTTGTGGCTGGGGTTTTGGGGACTAAACGGCGTGCAGCCAGCGGCTTCTTAGCCAAAGCGCAACACAAAAAACTTATGCAATCAAGACGGGGCACAGAGAGAGAGGCAGGGGCTGTCGACGACATGACGCTGGCAGCGGGCAACGGGCAACGAGCAAGGACCAAGGCTGACTGTAAAAGGTTCAAGGCGCCGCACAACAATGTCAGACCCGGAGCCGTAACCGTTGCCGTAACCGTGGTCGTGTCAGCAAACTGGAGCTGGCGCTGGCGCTGAAGCTGAAGCTGAAGCCCGCTGGCAGGACTCGTTGGAAGAATCACAGCGCGAAAGCGTTAAAAAAGTGAATTGTAAAACAAGCAGCAAACAAACGAGCAACATTTGCCATGGGGCTGGGCTGGTATGCATGCCCCACAATACACAATAGCCTCTGCAACACACCCGCACAAAGTAGCCGCACGATTCCTTTCCGCTCTCAGTGGGGTGTGTCCCTGGGTTACCGTGTACCCATCCTCTGGCTCTGGCTCTGGCTCTGGCTCCCCGCTCTGGTTAATAGAAAATGTAATTCGATGCATTTAATGTTGGCAACCAGTCAGGGCAATCGTCACTCACCCACACCCGCGGACCCCCTGGCAGCGATAACAGGTTCAGGTTCAGATTGGAGGCCTTGTCTTTATCTATTTTTATGAGTTGCCATTGCATCCAGGATGGCCAATGC